GAGAGCAGAGCATCACCACATTACACATTCATACTAGCTGAACACTAGCTATCACAGATGCACCATGGCGACCCATAAGTACAACATACACCTTTTGTGAGCACCAAACAGCAGTTAAAAAAGTATTCGCATTAAGAGTCATTTCTGCGGGGGCCCCACGCTACCACGTCTTCTAATATGTACTAGAGCGTCCAAATAAAATTCATGAAGGAGACATTCTTATTATGATCTTATCCAAGAAACAGCTAACTTCTCATATAACTTTTATCCAAAAATTTTTAACGCCAGCAGGTACTAAATAACACACACCACACACGACACACACCAGCACCCTTAACACAGGAAAAAAACACACACACACCACACAACACTACACACACCACACACCACACACATCACACGCCCTAACACACACACACCACACAACACTACACACACCACACACATACACCCACACACACACCACACACACTACACAATGCTACACATACCACACACCCTAACACACACCACACACACACCACACAACACTACACACACCACACGCCCTAACACACACACAACACATGACACTACACACACCACACACCCTAACACACACCACACACACACCCACACACACCACACACACTCCACACATGCCACACAACATGACACTACACACAACACACACACCACACAATGCTACACACACCACACACCCTAACACACACCACACACACACCCACACACACTACACACACTCCACACATGCCACACCACATGACACTACACACAACACACACACCACACAATGCTACACACACCACACAGTCTAACACACACAACACACACCCCCATACACACTATGCACCACATGACACTACATACACCACATACACACCACACACACCACACACCACATGACACTACACACATCGTACACACACCACATACATAACACACACACACACCCATGCACACACCACATGACACTACACACACCACAGACACCCGTGCACACACACACCACACACCACACCAGCACACACACACCACACATGCCACATGACACTACACACACCACACACCACACACACACACCACATGACACTAAACACACACCACACACACCACACACACACCACACACACACACCACATGACACTAAACACACACCACACATACCACATGACACACGACACACACACCACCTGACACTACACACACCACACACACCACGCCACACACCACACACACACATACTGCCACACACACATCCAACCTCACCAGCTGATCACGCGTCCCTCGAGGCGAGCTCTCGCACCCTGACTTAGATGTCCCGGAATGTAGACGACCCTGGGTTCCACTCCGTGTTTTATAAAACTGGGGAAGCTTACATCCAGAAAAAGGAAGCAATGTGGGCAATGCCACAGAGGAAATTCATAGAAGGGCCACAGATGCCATCTGGGGTCACCCCTAGGTCTGGAAAACTCAGGCCTCAGCAGCCTATTTCTAAAGCCTTGTATCCCCAGATCAACCCCTTCCTTGATATTGAATGGGGAAATAGGGAAAGTGTGTGGATCCAGCCTTCTCCACAGAGAGAAGCATGTAGTGGCTTGGTCATGACCATTGTAATGGACTTTTTTGCAATTTGTGTATTCTGAGATTTGCATCTGGGGAAACTGAGACCCGGGCTGGGAAGCCTCTTGTCCAGTCACAGGTCAGAAAGACCCTTACTGAGGTCTCGTCATGCCAAGATTTGTTGCCACCCCACCCTTGCCCCTCAGCAGGGTGCCTAGCTCCTTACAAATAGTTTTTGTAATAGAGGAAAAATGCTCTTGTAGTGGAATTCCTGACATTAATTGTCATTTACGGCTCTCAACAACATTATCCCCATTTTACAGGTGGGAACACTGAGGCTCAGAAAGGCTAATCTGCTTCCTCAAGGTCCCCCAGCTAGAATTTGAACCCGTTCTCTTAATGCTGCCTCCTGAGCTGGAGGTGAAACACCAGGGTAGTTAAGGACAGCCGTCTTTGCAGGCAAAGCATCTGGGGAGCTGTTGGGGTTTCCTGGTCATGGTTCTGGGTGTAAAACATTATCAGTGACCTTGCCAGAGCATCGCCCGCTGCCTTCAGAGATGGCTCAGTCCAGGGACGTGGAAATGAGAAACTGCTTAAGCTGCCCGTGGCGGCAGGCCCAGAGGGATGGCAGGCCAAGAGCGGGAATCTCTTTCCTACTCTTTTTCTCTTTGAGAATAAGAGGGAAATTGAGAAAAGGGAGAAAGGACGAGGAAATGGAGAAATGGAAGAAAAGAAGAAAGGTGATGGAGACTGGGAGCCTCTCTGAATTCAGGGCTGGGTCTCATTCAGGCTGAAAACTCCAGGTCTGCGGCTCTCAGTCCCAGCTACCCAGGGGAAGCCCCTGGGGATGGGAGTTTTAAGCGACACTAATGCTCATTCTCCACCCCCAAAGTTTCTGATGGCCTGGTTTGTCTGGAGTGCAGCCTGGGATCAGGAGTTTTTAAATCTCCCCGGGGATTCTGATGTGCAGCCAGGATTGAGAACCATGGGGTAGTGGGTTCACAGCCTGGAGTGGACAAGCGTTTTGGTGAATATTTTTGGAGAGAAATGGGGAGGAAGAGAGGGTGGAAGGAAAGGAAGAAAGAAAGAACAAAGAAGAGACTAAGAAAACAGGCCAGGCACGGTGGCTCAAGCCTGTAATCCCAGCATTTTGGGAGGCCAAGGCGGGTGGATCATTTGAGGTCAAAAGTTCGAGACCATCCTGGCTAACACGGTGAAACCCCGTCTCTACTAAAAACACAAAAATTAGCCAGGGACGGTGGCAGGTGCCTGTAGTCCCAGCTGCTTGGGAGGCTAAAGCTGGAAAATAGCTTGAACCCAGGAGGCGGAGGTTGCAGTGAGCCAAGATCATGCCTTTGCACTCCAGCCTGGATGACAGAGTGAAACAACATCTTAAAAAAAAAGAAACAAAAAGAAAAGTCATCATTTTTGTGTGTTTTAAAGTGTCCTATTAGGGAGCCAAAGATACTGGTTTTCTACGTCCTCCCTGGAGCTGACATGGTTTCTTGTCCTGTCTGCCATTTTATCAAATTACATTGAAAGCAAATTTAATTGGGTTTCACTGGGTCAAAGGTCCCTAGGCAATTCTGTGGTGCGAGAGGTGCCTGGCAAAGTTGTGCCGCATCTGAAAGGAGCACAGAGGCCTTAGGATCTGGGCCTTTGGGGCTCAGTCTACTCCTCTGTAAAATGGGATTCATAACGTTTTTTTCTCTGACCACCTGACTATGTGGGTAAGGGGATCAGATGAGAAAACAGATACAAAACAACTTTAAACATGTCCCCTCTAAGGCCTTCAAAAAAAAAAAAAAAACTACAAATATTTTATCAAAGTTTTAATGCATACAACTGAATTTACAGGTTTTGATTCTTGTTTTTCTTTCCTTTAGATCCTATGATTTATTTCATCAGTATCTCTACTGTTCCGTAAAGATCTTGCCTGAAGTGCAAGATAGTATTTTCTTAGGAAAGTCATTTAATTCCCCTGAGCCTCAGTTTCCTCATCTGGAAAATGGACATAAATTCGCTGTCATTCCTTCATTTAAGTGACCTTTAGTTCACCTGTGCCAAGTCCTGGATGGCCTCCAGGAATCGAGGTAAAGACATGTGACTTCAGGGAGCCAATACAGGCAGATGAAGGTTGCTGGTCTGTTGCTCAGGCTTTGTCTTCCAGAAACGTCTGTTTGGATTCTGACACTGCTATATAACCAGCTGCTTGAGCGTGAGCATGTTTCCTCACCTCTGGGCACCTCAGTAGGCTTATCTGTGAAATGGGTGTGAATAGTCATACTTACGGGGTTAGTCCGAGGATAAGATGAAATGGTGCATGTAAAGTGCTTTGAAAAGCACTTGAAAACCTTAGCTAATTATTACATAGCTGTAAATGCAGGGTGGACAGAGGGATCCTGGGGAATTAGTAAGGTGTTGTCTAGCAGAGAAGAGAGAAGAGGGCTTTCGAGGTAGAGAGACCAGCATGAGCCAAGGCATGAAAGATGGAGGCTTTAAGGGGCTAGGGGCTGCAAGGCGCTTGGTGTACTGGGTGTTTGAGACAGCAAGAGATGGGCTGAGACCCAGCTGTGGACTTCCTGGGAGGTCAGGCTGAGAAACTGGACTTGAGTCTGTGGGCTAATCTTTGCGGTTTCCACAGTCCAATTCTATTACCAGCTACTTCTTTTTGTGTTACCATTTTTGTTTTTCAGAAAATGCATGTAAATTGGCTTGCCTTTTTCACTTGGCTTACTCCAACCAAAATAATGTCCATGAAATTAGAAGTTTGATGTGCAAACCATATATTTATATATTTTTCTAATTCGCATTTAAAGAAATGCATAAACATTAGACATTTTAAAGTATGTTTGCCTACCTAAAATCGTCCTGTGAATGAGGCTCGAAAAAGCCTTTTAAAGGCAAGATTTCTAAGCCAAGGGTCAAGCGTTTGTTTAGAAAGGAATAAGGAAAAGAAAGGGGGCTTGCTCATCATGCCTTTCTATGCCCTCTCTGGAATATTGACTCTAGTTCAATAGTTACCAACCTCACCTACCACCTACTCCCCATATCCAGGCTCCTGATTGGTTGGGGTAAAAAGGGCACCTCCGTGAAGTCAGCCCATTCCATGCTTAGGCATGCACTGCCCTCTGCAGGTGAGGAGAAGAATTACATTACCCGAGATGGGTTCGCTGGTCTGTGTCAGATTCTAATTTGCGTTCTATCCTCACCTCTTCCACTCTCTAGACCCCAGTGAAAGCAATGAGGGTCCCTTAGGCTGTTCTTATCCTTTTTGAAGAGGTACTATAGTCACATGATTCAAAGTTCAAAGGTACAAAAGAGTCTACTGTGAAAACTGAGTTTCCCATCCTTTCCCAGCAACAGCCCCCCTCCCTGACTCTTCTCTCTAAATGCAATTACTTTCTTATGTATCTTTCCCCAGATCTTTCTAAATATCTCAAAAACCATAACAGAAACCTCTTATCTATCAAAATTAAGCCACCCAGACTAAGTAACTAGATTAACACTGATTTTATTGCAAACTCTGTTATACCTGATCAATAATAACCACGAACAAAACACAAAGAATGTTTCTTACCAAGAAATGTAAAATGTTAGGGAGACAAAATCTTTTTAAAACAAGAAGTCTGGGCTGGGTGCGGTGGCTCAAGCCTGTATCCCAGCACTTTGGGAGGCCAAGGCAGGCAGATCACCTGAGGTCAGGAGTTTGAGACCAGCCCAGCCCAGCCAATGAAACCCTGCCTCCACTAAAAAGCACAAAAATTAGCTGGGCGTGGTGGCACGTGCCTGTAATCCCAGCTACTTGGGAGGCTGAGGCAGGAGAATCGCTTAAACCCAGAGAGTGGGGGTTGCAATGAGCTGAGACCATGCCACTGCACTCCAGCCTGGGTGACAGAGCAAGACTGTGTCTCAAAAATAATTTTTAATTTAATTTAAAAAAAAAGAAGTCTGTAATACAAAAATCACAGCTAGAAAGGATGAATAGCTTCTAGTGTTCTACAACACTGTAGGGTGACGACAGTTAACAATAATTGGTTGTATATTTTCAAATAGCTGGAAGAGAGGATTTTCAATGTTCCCGACACAAAGAAATGATTGATGTCTAAGGTGATAGATATGCTAACTACCCTGAATTGATTAGTACACATTTTACTATGTAATGAGATATCACTTTGTACCTAATAAATATGTACAATTATGTGTTAATTAAAAACTAGAAATAAATAAATTGGAAGCATTTTTTTAAAATGAAAAAAAATAGGAAGCTCATAGAGAGAAATATTACCTTAGTTGGGGAAAAAAGTTGGAAATCACAGGTTTAATCAAACCAACATTAGCAGTGATATCATGAGAACACAACAGGCACACTAGGATTGGAGGGGTAGAAAGGGATGTTCTCATTCCACAGATTTTTTTTTTTTTTGAGACAGAGTCTCACTCTGTTGCCCAGGCTGGAGTGCAGTGGCGTGATCTCAGCTCACTGCAACCTCAACATCCCAGGTTCAAGCAATTCTCCTACCTCAGCCTCCCAAGTAGCTGGGACTACAAGCGCATGCTACCATGCCCAGCTTATTTTTGTACTTGTTGTAGAGATGGGGTTTTACCATATTGGCCAAGCTGGTCTTGAACTCCTGACCTCAGGTGACCCACCAACCTTGGCCTCCCAAAGTGCTGGGATTACAGGTGTGAGCCACCATGCCCGGTCCAGACTTTTTGTTTGTTTGTTTGTTTTGTTTTTTGTTTTTTTGTTGTTGTTTTTTTTTGTTTTTTTATGTGTTTTTGTTTTGTTTTGTTTTGTTTTGTTTTTTGAGACAGCATCTCACTGTGTCACCCATGCTGGAGTACAGTGGTGCAATCAAAGCTCACTGCAGCCTCAACCGCCAGTGCTCAAGTGATCTCCCCATCTCAGCCTCCCGAGTAGCTGGGACCACAGGCATATGCCACCGTGCCTGGCTAATGTTTTTATTTTTTATAGAGATGGGGGTTTCACTATGTTGCCCGGGCCAATCTTGAACTGCTGAACTCAAGTGATCCTCCAGTCTTGGCCTCCCAAAGCGCTGGGATCACAAGCATGAACCACTATGCCCGGCTATAATGAAGATTTTATATGTGGTTTTTTAATTCATGTTTTCTGACACAAGACTCAGTCGGGGCACACTTCTTGAAAACGTGTATATGTAGCTTTCATGGGCTGTTGTATAAAATTGTGGTTCAGATCTCAAGCTGTGGCATCAACAGACCTAGGTTTGAACCCTGACATTCCTGGTTGAGTCTCAGTTTCCCTATGTGCATAAAGGAGCAAGTCCTACTTTGTGAGGTTGTTTGAATGCTTGATACTTGGCGGACAGCATTGTTGTTATTCAAAAGCTAAATGTGGGTCCTGGGAAATGCTTTCTCAGCTATCCAATGGGACCAGTGTTTTCACTGCCCTGAGAAAGGGAGGAGTTAAAGGAAGCAGCCAGAAGTGGGAACACTAAATGGCATGTCCACAAATGGCTGCTCAGGACCTTGTAGGGGCCACAGAATGTGACCAGAGCAGGGTCATTTTGGGGAAGGAGAGGAGGTTAGACAAGTTGGACAAGCCGGTGGGTTGGCTTTGGAGTGGTCTCTCAGGCATGCAGGGTGTCAGGTGGCATCGGACTCGACTCTGGTGACCTGCATATCCAAGAAGAATGAAGGCATGACCAACAAGGAGCCCTAGTGGCAGGCGGGGTAGAAATCCCTTGGGGCAGCCTCC